ATATATATTAAGATGAAAATGTTCTAGAGTGTGTATTATATAAAGATGTTGCCGCGGCTGGGTAACCAGTATGGTAACCAGTATGTAACCAGTATGGTTCGATGCTGAATTAATATAAATGAGTATGTTTATGACATTCAGTATATAGTTCATAATTTCCAGTCTTAAATCCGTCTGACCGTGTATAGCTCAGTTGGTAGAGCGTCGATCTAGTAATTCGAAGGTCGCGGGTTCAAGACCCAGCCGCGGCAGACTTTATCTTTCTGCTTGCGCTGGGTATGGAAATTATGAAATACACACTCGAGAACATTTTCTACTTATCATATTACGGAGTGAACAATAACACAACATTATATACATATATATATATATATATATATATATATATATATATATATATATATATATATATATATATATATATATATATATATATATATATATATATATTTGACATTGTCGTTGATATATATATTGACATTGTCGTTGATTCCCGTTGAGCCAGCCATATTTGGCCGGATTGCCAAAACATGCATGACCATATTTTAACTCACCTCCCTAGCTTGACCAAAAAGGAGAACAGCAAGAAACACAATAGTCAATAGCTATAATGAAAATATTCAGAAGCTTTGCCATATTGTTCAGTGGTAGGCAAAATATAGCTCTCAGCAGAAAGCACAGTTTATATAGGCAGTTATTTGCGGACAGACCGTTTACTCACAATCAGTCAGGCAAGGCAGCTTTAATTAATGTGATATTTTCGCAAGAAACGGATTTTGCTTTGTTCCAAATGCAATCATATTTTGCAAATATGAGCAATTAATTTTCAATTTAAATAACTGCTAGAAACAATGTAAATTACTTATTTAATATCGTCGCTGTTTTTAGGATATTGGATTAATTTATATTGGCTGCATGAGAATTATAAAAAGTTATTTTCCGAAACTTGCCATAACGTGGCAACGAAAAAGATTCATTTTTAATTGATGACATGATATATATCGTGCAGTATACAGGGTGGCCCGAAAAAGATACGTCAGCTATGTTGCAGATTTTATATCACAGCTAACAGTTACAACTAATTATTAGTACAGGCATCGAAAATTTAATCTAAAGCCCTGGGCAAACTAGGAAACATTGTTGTGGAAACATTTGTGATTCTCGATGTTTCCTCAAATGTTTCCCTGTTTGCCCACCCGTGGAAACATTGTTGCGGAAACAAAATTTGCTTCCCGAGAAGCAAAAATGTTTCCTAGCGAATTCAGGAACATTTGATGTTTTTCCCTATGTTTCTCACTAATGTTTCCTAGTTTTGCCCACTTTTGGAAACATGACGAAACATTGGCAGGAAACAATGTTTCCGCAACAATGTTTCCTAGTTTGCCCAGGGCTTAAGAGATAAATGTTAACACTGTAATATTATTGAAATTTAATAGTCTAGTAGTAGTGTAGAACCGATGTTAGGGCTGTATCTCAAATTTATTTTAATAATTCATGAAGTAAATTAGTCGACCATACTACTTTATTTTTCTCGCATGATCATACTGGATACCTGGTGATGTATATTGATCTAGTCCTAAGACTGGATCAACATTAATCCAGTCCTTAGTCGGCTGGATCAAAATTAATTCATCTCACATTAAGTAGTGCAGATTTATTCATGAGTTGTCATTTTAAATCCTCCAATTCTACTAGATTTCAAGTCTTCGCATTTTGATCAAGTCCTCGGCTTCGCTTTGGAGATCGGTAAAGGGAGCAAGGTCCATAACGGCGAGGGCCCTTACCCTCGTCCTGATCTTTGCATCTCTCGGTCACTTCACCACGGGGAAGCCCGATCCGGACACGAGTTTCAATGTCCATAACGGTGAGGGCCATTACTCTCACCCTGATGTTGTTTCTCCAGCTTTTCTGGGGGCCCTTACCTCCAGAAACCGCACTTTCCGTCGCCCAATTTGGCCACAAAGGATTTGCGTGATTTATTAAGTGAGGTGAATTAATTTTTATCCAGTCCAAGGACTGAATTAATTTTGATCCAGTCCTAGAACTGGATCAATATACTTCATCTAGTATTATCATGTGAGCAAAATAAAACAATATGGTTGGCTAATTTACTCATGAATTATTAATGAGTTTGAGATGTAATATTTCAAACCCAACATGAGAACTATCTCAAACTCATTAATAATTCATGAGTAAATTAGCCAACCATATTGTTTTATTTTGCTCACATGATAATACTAGATGAATATATTGATCCAGTTCTAGGACTGGATCAAAATTAATTCAGTCCTTGGACTGGATAAAAATTAATTCACCTCACTTAATAAATCACGCAAATCCTTTGTGGCCAAATTCGGTGACGGAAAGTGCTGTTTCTGGAGGTAAGGGCCCCCAGAAAAGCTGGAGAAACAACATCAGGGTGAGAATAAGGGCCCTCACCGTTATGGACATTGAAACTCGTGTCCGGACCGGGCTTCCCCGTGGTGAAGTGACCGAGAGATGCGAAGATCAGGACGAGGGTAAGGGTCCCCGCCGTTATGGACCTTGCTCCCTTTGCCGGTGTGTGCTTCATCGTGGGTGAAGTGTGGCCGAGTGGACACCACTTTCCGCCCCGCTTTCTTTATTTGTTCTTCAAATAGGTCGATTGAAATTTACAATTTTGCTTTAACAAGTAACTAATGTAAATACAAACATTTGTAATTGTTGACTCATACATCAAATTACAATATAGTTATTAATTAATTAATTAATCTATCAGTTGACCCTTGCCTATTTTGGTGCGTAGTCGTGATAAATGGGTGGGTGGGTGGGATTTTTTCTTGGTGTCTACTCAAAGGCAGTTGAAAACAGTATGAACTGAGATGTTTTGCAGCCTTTTGCTGATAGCTAAGGAATGCCGGCTTGGCAGAAAAATGCCATTATAGTGTCGTTAACTTGGCAGAACTTGTTGACAGAAGATCTATTTGATAATTTTGGCCGGATGTTTGTTTTCCTTGCTTTCAAATCCTCCAACATTCTCGTACCCAGAGCCCTTCTTACGCGCGGTGCGACGAGGGGCTCTGGCCAGATCCATAACCGGATACCATAAAAACATGGTAAGAAAACAATATCCGGTGTTAGGACTAGCCAATCAGATGCCAGTTCGGAATATGGATTTGGCCAGAGCCCCTCGTCGCACCGCGCGTAAGAAGGGCTCTGGGTACGAGAATGATCTTCCAATTTGGACTGGACTAGATTTCATTTCATCCAGTCTTCGGTTTCGCCTCGGACCTTCTCACTGAAGTTCATATACGTCAAATTTCGCGGACTTGAAATCTAGTCCAGTTCTTATAGTCGGATTTGAAATATTACTTAATTAAGGAAGGGGCCACCAAACCTATCAACACACTCTACACAACTGATGCATTATTTCAATGGTTTATTGAGTAAATCATTCTAATGGAAACAGCACGCTTAAACACAAATTACGATTTTCAACAAACTCCTTTCTCTTTTTCAATATAATATAATTCTGATTTAATTTTATATCGCTTTATAACATACTTTGTTTATCGCTATTCATATATATGTATATAAGCATACATTTCTACAGCTATAGATGAGTCAGGTATATATTGATTAGAATTTCTTTTATTACATAATGGTAGATGAATAGATCAGGTTCTATATCTTCATGTGTCTTCATGGTTTAGACGCATTGTTTGTACACTGTTTTCCATGAGATTGTGCGACATTTTAGACCACGATTATAGCCGAATTGCCCACTATATACATCGGTACACAGGCAGCTGTAATCCGACTGGCAGTTATACCCATATGGGCATTGATATCTAGATTGGGTTCCCCATAAGTTCACATAATGTCGTTTCTAAAATAATATACATAGTGAGATCTTGTTAGTAGTAATAATGATAATGATGAAGATTGGGGTGGTGTTGATGATGATGATGATGATGGTAATGTGATGGTAATGATGATGATGGTGATGATGTTATTTAACTAATCCATGGTTTTACAGGGTGCAGTTGCCTAATCCAGATGGTGATGATGGTGATAGTGGTTATGGTGACAATGATGGTGATGGTCATGGTGTTATCTAACTAATCCATGATTTTAAGTACAGGGCGCAGTTGCCTAATCCACCCGAAAGAAGAAAAAGAGTGCGACAGTAGTATGAAGATTCTTGGTCGCTGCCTGGCAAAGTGAACAAAATTACCCACATTACGGTCAATGAAATAGTCCTCAGGTGAATTTAAACAGGGACTTTAGCACCTGTCACAGTTTTTACACGTATCAAACTCTTGAGTTATTAAGTGGAACATTGGTAAAACTCGGGTTTTAATCTGGTTTGAGGTTCTAAGCGAAGCGAAACAGTTCAGAAATATTGTGAACAATAATTTACGTTATATACCTATATATGTGCTCAAAACTATATGGTACCCAACTTAGCCCTCCCCCCCCAAAAAAAAAGAAAACCTGTCCCGCCGCCACTGTATTCACTAAGCATGCTTTTTAAGTTTAATTTGTTTGCCGATTGAGAAACATATCCAAATAAATGCAGGCATAACCAAATGAATGCAGGCATAACCATGAATTGTTAAAAGAATATTCTTCAGTGATCCATATTTTTGTACTCACTTTGCGCGGTCCTTCTCCTACCGCTGAGGCGAGAACGATTAATGAAACGAGGAAAAAAGTCAGAGCAAATTTTTTTGCCATTGTAAAATGCCCACTGCAGCTACACGGCTATACTGGAATTATTCTGTTGTCTGTCCTATTCAAGAGCGTGCATTTATTGCCAGCGCCGAATCAAATTAGTTCAAACTCATTTCATTCTTTTCTCGCATGTTTACAAAAGTAATAAAACGCTTATTTGCATCAGAAATGATTGAGGATTTAATTTTGAATCATATTTATATTTTGCGATATTACTAGTTTTAGTGACAAAGCGGGTAAGAATTTTAGACAATGTACCGATAAAATTGAAATTGTTCGACATTGAAATTAAATTGTAACAAAAAATAAATTGGTTTTAAATTACAGATTTGCAAACAATTAAGTAACAAGGTTGCAGTATTAACAAGCCGACGATATCAGAATGTATTCGCACTGCTAGTTGTTCCCAGTTGTTGTGACAAGTGTGAAAAATGTTGTTATCGCCTTGTTACAACCAGATGATCTTGATGCGCGGAAAAGTACTGGCACTAGTTGTCAAATAGAAATCCATTTTGTGATTAAAACAACTGAATATCTCCCGTAATATACTCTATTTCGATTCCATATTTTTGTCAGAGCTATAGTTCTCATAACCAAACATAATTACAAAATTTCAACTAGTTTCATAAAGAATAACGAAAGATATAATTGACTGAATACATCAAAATGGATTTCTATTCGGACAACCCTTTCTGAGCGCTGATTGGCTAAAATACGAACACGAGATCACCTGGAAGGTTGATGACGATAACAGACTTGCCACAAGTTGTTTTAAGAAGACTATAATACAGCCCGTTCGTAACAAGTTGCTACGCGGCTAAGAGCTTGTTGTCATCACTTGCTAACAACTTGTTTAATACGTGCAGACGATATCAGACTTGTTGGAACAACTTGTTGCGAGTCTGTTGGCCTCACCAACCTTGTTACAGGATGATAACAACTTGTTTCAGACTTGTCAATAACCAAAACTTGTCAAGGAAAATTTATCTAAATCAGGACGAAATTTTTATCCAATTTATTGATATTGATGAAAAATTCATTTTCATTGGATTAATTTTCTTAATGAATTATTCAAATAATCATAAAAGCTATACGCGGACATTGATTGCCTTTTTTGCGCACTGCTTTTGTTAAATAAATCATTGTGTTTGCCGTGTGAAAGTAGATTCGATGTCAATAATTACGGTAATTATTTTCAGCTTTTAGGTCAGACATATTTGCGTAAAATATTATATTTTTTTCCAACCGAAGTAATTAAGAAACATATGCTCTGTTCCCATGAGTGTGATTTTTGAAGTATAGAAACAATGGTTTGCCACCTTTGAGGAACATGGCTAGGAAACAATGGGAAACACAGTTTCGTGGTTTGCCTATCTTTGCGAAATATGACTAGGAAACAATATTTCCTGGTGTGTGTACCTTTGAGTAATATGGCTAGGAGATAGGGTTTCCTGGTTTATTTACCTTTGGGAAATATGGCTAGGAAACGGTTCCTGGTTTGTCCCCCTTTAGGAAATACAGAGGGTTTCCTGGTTTGTTCGCCTTTGCGAAATATGGCTAGGAAACAATGTTTCCTGGTTTGTCCACCTTTGGGAAATACGGCTTAAAGTGGAAACAATGTTTCCCGGTTGTCTACCCGTTTGGGAAATATGGCTAGGAAATAGGGTTTCCTGGTTTATTTACCTGGGCTTTGCGAAATATGGCTAGGAAACAATATTATATTTCCTGGTTTGTCCACCTTTGGGAAATATGGCTAGGAAACAATTGCGTTTCCTGCTTTGTCCACCTTCGAGAAACACGACTCGAAAACAACGTTTCCTGGTTTACCCATTTGGCGATCATCGGGAAATTTGACCACGGAAAATTCAGCCCCGCCCCCCTCCCCCTCCCCCTCCCCACCCTCCTCATTCTCCGGATCCCCTCACTACACTGTTTCTCTCACTCCTGCTTTCCCCAATTCTCCCACTTCTTGATTATTCCCAGGTTTCCTGAATTTTGCCGGATTCCCCGGGTATTTTAAATGGTCGGAATTTGTCGATTTGCGTCGTACACCTCTCGACTTCCGACGGAGTTCCGGACATCTCCGAATTTTAAATTTCTTTCTCTTCTCGTTGGCGCCCCACAAAATGGCGGCTGAAGAAGTAAAGTCTAAGTCAATCATGCCAATCCTACCTTCATTTAAAGGTAATACATTTTATTTAATATCAATACTTTTAGTAGAGTACTTAGATTGATAATATACATCAAATTTTTGGACATCGAGATAGAATTTAGAGCGATATTTCGGTATAAAATTTGTACTTTCCACGGACCACGTGCTTAATCGCTAGTTCGGTATTGTCGAAATAAAAACGTGATTTCGTTGAAGTCGTTGTACAATAGTTGTTGACCAACCGGATAAAAAGACCTAGTAGAGTCTACAATTGTTTAAATCGCCGAACTTCACTTATTTTTGAGTTTATATTGTGGTACCAAGGGCAAGGGGGCAAAGTTGTGGACTTGAGGGCCATTTCTCAATTCTCACTCCAAAAAACCCCGTACACTTCGCAAAAAAATCCGGGAAAGATCTGGCAATTAGGAAAATACGTCAAAATCTAAATTTAAAAATCCGTTCATAGAAAAATTCCACAAAATCTCTTTTTTAAAACTCAAAGAAAACAATCTGGATTTTTGAAAGTCCGAAAATCCCATATGCTTTTTTGGATTCACTTTATTTAAGGGACCGTTCATTATTTATACCTGGGGTTGGTACCAAAGAGATATGGGTTGGGTAATCAAGTTTTTGACTAGCTCATGGGTTGGGTAAAAAAAATTATGGCTGTCCGTCAGCTATAAAATAAAACCAAAATTACCCAGAGTTGCAAAAAAGCTGCGGGCACGCGAGCATTACCCGCGATGAAGGTTTACCATAGGTGAAGTCAGTGAGGAAGGTTAAGTGGTCAACGGTCGCTAACACCAAACAAGTAAAACAAATCAATCGTAGTTGAATAGGCAATTGAGGCTGACAAATTGTGGTGGTGCTATTGTGATATAGTGCCTATACCAGATTACTATGATATTGGAGAATACTGAGAAGACAATAACTGAAAATATTCGGTAAAATTAAAATGTGTAAAACAGGAGGCTATTACTAAGAGCTATTCATCATGGTTACAATAAGAATCTCACATTGAACATTATATTATTCAGAGCTTATTTGATTACATGATTCCAATATTTTTAGAGAATAATTAATAGTTATAAGTGAAATGAAACCATCAATGCTGTAGCAACTAAACATTGTAATAATTATATAAATATAGCCAAGGTGAAATGTTGTAAACTAGCTGCCACAAAAATTGTAAACAAAGCTGAGGAAGAAATTTTAGCATGTGCGATGTATCATGCGAGTCTGACGAAAATAATACAGCTTGATTACTGAGGTGTGTAGCTGTCATACGTATTTAATACAGATTGACAAAATGTGTAGAGGTCCTATAATCGAAATCATTGTTTACATACCTGATACCTACACTGTCAATTCCCACAAACTATAAGTTAAGTATTGGCAGGATTGGGACTTGGGAGCATCTGTTATTAGAGATTATATTGCCATTGCCATTGATTTTCAACTATTCCATACATTGCCATTGATTATAAACCGCCATGCAGGGCACTATATTGCTTGGTTTAAATTTTGCACTTTGCTTCGGAAACAAGTGAGAACATTCGCTGCCTCGCTGATTGTGAAATTGGGCGATTGGGTCACACTTCTAAATACCTAAACACTCTCAAATGCCTTTCAAAACCACAGGTACAGAAACATCAAATACCACCTCTGGAATGTTGTTGCCATGGTTTTACCACTGACCTCTATATGATATGTGTACAGGTATAAAATCAACAACTTCAGTTGATATCGAGTATTGAGATCAGTGTATCGACAAAAAGGTTAGTTGTGTTGCCCACTATGAACAAGTTGTCAACAATGTTGTTTCAAGTTTTGTTTACAACTTGTTCATAGTGAGCAGCACAACCTTGTTTGCGCCTTTCAATATCAACTAGGAACAAGTTGTTGATTTTCTCAATTTTTATGTGTGTACCCCTGTGCTTTTTATTACAGATTCAGAAACCATCACATCTTGAGTCAATGACAATGACTTTATTTTTTATATGCTTTTATATTCAATATATCATACAGGATGTAGACGTAGTAGGCAAGGACTGTCCAATTTATCCAAAGTATAAATCTATTACGGCACATCAAACAGTTAAGTTTATATACTCTAGCATATTGCTATTAGATGAAGCCATATTTTATTATTTATTCAATTTATTTTGAGGAAGGCTTCAAACCTTAAAGTTTACCCGAAGGAAATTTCAACAGGTTTTGCAACTCTGATTATTAATTACCATGCATTGGAAAATATGAAGAAAAATGTATACGATACATTCTGTGCCAAAATAGACCATCAGTGATTGACGAAGGACTCTATCATTGATCAACAAGGAACGTGATTGCTTTGGCACACTCAGTGAGTTCGAGAGAGGTTTTAGAATTTAGGAAACTTGATTTCTGTCACCATAATCTTGTGTGTTTAAGTACAGTAACACATCGGTTGGGTAAAAATTATTTTGACCAATGTCGAGGTTGGGTATATAAAAAAATTACAGTGTTTTTTGTTTCTCTTCGGTACCAACCCCAGGTATAAATAATGAACGGTCCCTTAAGGAGATAGCTCTCGTGTGCGGGCGATTTACGAACGACTTTTGTCATTCGTGCCACTTACTCCAAATATCTAACATGTTTGATAATTTCTGCCTCGCGTGCCAAAATCTTTCCGTGTGCGGCGAACGAAAGCTATCTGCTTACGGATTGTCGTAACAGCGCATGCGTAGTATACGAAAGTAAACATCCAAGATGGCGGCGCAAA